GCGGCCGGTTGTCGTTCTGGTCCACCACGATGATCTCCAGGTCGGTGGGGTCCTCCAGCGTCACGCCGCCCAGGTCCAGCGCGAAGGCTTTCAGCTGCGGGCGCGGAGCGGGTGGGTCAGGGCCCGGCTGGGGGGACGGGGACGGGGCCGCGGGCGGAGGGGCAGCATCCTTACCCGGAACCGGTCGTTCTCCTCCCGGTCCAGCATGGCATTGAGGAAGACCTTCCCGGTGAACTTGTCGATGGAGAAGATGCCCAGGGGCTCCTCGTCCACCCCCGGCCCCTTGATGCTGTAGATCACACCCCCGGGCTGCTGCTTGTCCGACTTGATCTGCCCCAGGGAAAGCAGGGCTGGTGGTCCCGGGGCTGGGGGTCTGTCCCCCGCCTGGGTGTCCCCCTCTGCCCTGAGTCTCTCCCCATGCCCTGTCCCCTTCCTGGGGTGCCCCCGTGCAATCCCAGGGTGCCCCCCACCCCACCGCCTGGAAGAGAGGGTGGGGGGCTCTCTGCCTACCTGCACCAGGAGGTGGGGGATGCGCTTGTGGTTCTCTGAGACGCTGATGGGGGGGATCACCCAGGCCCTCTTCACCCGCCGCGGACCTTCGTGCTGCTGCCAGGCCTTGGGGCTGCCCGGGGCTGCAGCACCCGGCCGGGCTGGGCTGGCACCCTGGGGGGGGGAACGCAGTGCTGCCGGTGACCCCGAAACCTCCTGAGTGGGGTGCAATGCCGGGGCATCGGGATGGATGGTGCTGGGGTGCATGGTGCTGGGGTGCACGGTGCTGGCACCCTCTGATGGGGTTGGGTCTGGGGGAGCAGAGAGGCCACCCAGGTCCCCCAGGAGCTTCGTGTCCCCTGACACCCTGGTGTGATGGTGATGGGTGTCCCACCGGGATCGCCGGGAAGGGGTGCCCCACAAATGACCTCAGTGGTGGCACAGCCACCTCGTGGCTGGACTGTGCCCCGTGGGACCCCCATGGTGGGGACGAAGGGGCTACCCAGGGCTAGCAGCACCCGCGTCACCGTCACCGTCACCGCATGGACGTGGCAGCGAGGGCCGAAGGGTCAGGGATTGGTTTAGGCTGCATGGGTGGTCCGGCCGGGGCACAGAGTCGGGGTGCTGGCGGGGAACGGGGGGCTGGGGGGCTGGGATGGAGCTGGGGGCTGGGAGGGG